CCGTCAGGCCCACAATTGATCAGGCCTTTATTAGAGTCCTGGATCCAGTTTTAATATCTACACTTTAATAAGAATGTAGAAAAATGAAAGAAGATCCTGAGAAGTTGATCATAGTGACACTAAATTATTAGAGACCAGAGCTTATAAGAGAATATTAAGGATGTTGGTATAATTTAATCCAGAATCAGAGGGAAAAACAGAGCACTTGGACTATATACGGGAATTATGGGTTGTCTCCTAGTATATGAAATCTTATTATGAGAGGAAATGAACTAGCACTGAACCATATCTATAAGGAATACAATTAAATAAAGTCAGACTAATTAAAGCCAGATAACTTTATACATTATTCTGATAGTGAGAGTAACTATTCATAGGAAGATAATAGGAGGACTTTAAAAATCTCTTCTAGAGACATTTGAGACTAGGATGTATTGCTACTTTTAGGAGTTTAAAGAGCAAGAAGAATGCCTGAGCTTTTCTGTTTATGAAAATATCAGGATACAGAAGAGTACATATTAAATGATCATGACCAGGGAAACTTCCTAGGAAAAAAGACTGGAAAAAATATACCAGAAGTTTAATAGTTCTTACCATTAATTTGAGAATTGGTGCACATTGTTATATTTTTTCCTGTATTTCTTCACATTTCCCATAGTTTACATAAATATATTTATAGTAAACAAATAAAATTTCAAAATGCATATTGGATACATATAATCTGATTTAGTTTTAGGTGTTTGGCTGCTCTCTGGATGCTGTCAACATTTTCACCACACTTTTTCCATAGGCAAGAAATGTCTACCCCATGAGCAAAGAAGATTGTGTTAACCCCTCCACTTCCTTAATTTAGTTTAATTCTATTTTTCTGATTTATTAGATCTATGTGATAAAACTGTTGTAACTTATTTTGGGTTTCTTATTTTTCACCAAATAGATATTTCACACTATATCTACTCAATAAGATAAAATTTTAGTAAGAATTCCTCCTCTCTTATTTTATTAGGTGATTACGGATATTTTTAGTAGAAAACCATTTCACGTTCACTGAGCATGCACTTTACCATTCATATTACTGGGTATGAAGAATATATAAACAGAAAAACCAAGTTGACTGTTTCCAGGGTGCTATGATCTAATTATATTTTACAATACCTTTGGCTCATCTTTATTGTTCTCGAAGCTATTGTAACTCAGCGAGTCTTTACTGTGTGATTACCATGAGCAAGTTTTTTTCTCAGAGTTTCAAAATCTTCATATTCTCACATAGCAGATTAATGAAAGAATTTTTACAAATTAATCTAAATTAATAATTCAGAGTTCTTATTCGCAGCTCCCTGGTAAGAAATCCTGCTGGAAAGTAAACATAATCAAAAGGTGTTCTCTGCATTGGACTTGCAGAGGGAGAGAACATACCCTGGGATACAAAGTGGAGTCAGGGGGGAAGGGGAAGGGGGTGGGAGGTTGGGGATAATTGGGTGGAGGACACAGTACAAATGCAGTTTGTGGTAATGGGCATGCTGCCAGTATGAATCGGGCCTTCATGTCTTGAGCATGAAGGGTGACAATCAGCTCTGTATCTCATGAATATTCATAACCAATAGAAAAAGTGTTCTCTGGCTTCTCCTATTCCTTTTTGGTAACTTGAAAGTCCTACTTGGCTTTTCTGCATGGATTTTAAGTTTGATGTCATATTAGTAACTATGTAATAATATTAGGATCCATACCTTCCTTTCTTTAGGGCTGTAGTCTCCAAGTAATTCAGATTTCTGGACTTCACTTCAGCCCATATTTCTTGGATAGGATTCTTCCGTGTGTTTCTTTTAAAAACTCCCTACATTAAAAGCAACCAGGCTCAGATCATTACATTAAAAGGTTTTTCTCATCTGTCTTCTTCATAAACCAGAGATTTTCAATCCTTGACCAACTACACAGTCTATGGGGAGCTTTTAAAAAATGCAAATGTGTTGGCTTCACCAAAGGCCAATTTTGCTCATATTACAATATGGGAGGTGTGAAGATGGTGGCAGTACTCTGACTAGATATTAGCGTC